TATATTTTCGGTATGTATAAGCAATGGAGATACTGGCAATAACTATGCTTCTATGAATATATTCAGATCAGTTAATCGTGTCGTTGTCAGAAAAACTTTATTCTGAAAATTCTACAAACGGCATAGGGCGTAGCGCAATATTCCGATAAAAACATGATTCGTGTCATGATCAGCCCTGAGCTGGCATGATAATCATCTGGGGCCAACAGTAGGCACTCATTATAACGACGTTCTTATGGTCGTCTACTTTCAAAGATAATAACAAAACTTTTTTTTTTGTTATTGCCCTTGTAGGAAGACGAGCATACGGCCCACCTGATGGTGAGTGCTTACCGTCGCCCATGGACTTCAGCAATGCCAGGGGCAGAGCTAAGCCGCTGCCTACCGTTTAATACTCTCCACAAGCCTCGTTTGAAGAAGGACATGTCATAGCGCTCGGGAAACACCGCGGAGGGGAGCTCATTCCATAGCCGGATGGTACGTAGCAAAAAAGACCTCTGGAAACGCACTGTGGATGACCGCAGTGGCTCCAGATAGTATGGATGAACTCTACTCCGGTGGCGGGCGGTGCGATGGTAAAAACGAGTATGCCGGTATCATCTCGAACAATTCCTCAGAGCACTCTTGACAAAAACTTGACTAAAACTTGACTTGAGCAAAACTTGACCCTTCAAGTACAGTATTAATGACGATTTGGATTGTCCACACCATCCGCGTCCGGTCAGCTAGCACCGAACATTCAGAAAATTTTAAGCACCTGGAGGAAGATCTGAAAAAGAGCGAAAAGCTTTCTTCAAATCATTTCAGAAAAAACTATGATGGAATAGTTTTTTTTTTAATTCTGATTTGTTTCATTTCGAGTCACACGGCAACAGTTCCTTTCGGGAGAAATTTATAAAGAAACATATGTGTGTGTAAATGCTCAAATAAAACTAAAATTGTATACCTACCTTTATGGTAAAATTTATTTCAATTGGCGAATAACAATATTTTCTCAGTAGGTCCTATAAATTGTCTATCCAGAGACCAAACATTTAACAAATTAATGTTAATAACTTATCAGAAAAAAAATATATATAGTATAGAAAAAAAAAATATAATAAGTTTTGAAGGTCTTGAAATTAGTATATTATACTGTAAAGAGCATTGATTTATATTATACAGCGGGTTATTCTGGGAAACCACCGGCGGCGTCTGGTCGGCGGAGGAGGCTGACGTTTCCGAGCCTTCGTTCTTCGCCTCGAAGGCTCCATCGGCCAGGCGGCTTTGAAGTGTACTGCGCGGTCTGCTTAACATGTTGATCGCACTAACCCCCTTAACCTGACTGATTTCTGACCTCGGGGGTGTAAGAGGCTTGCGTGAGGGTGCAGGGGAGTCGTTTAGTGGGTAGGACCCGAAATTCTATCCTTTGGGCTAACAGTTCACTTCCAACATCTGCGGACCACTCCCATATACCCTGCATGTTCCCTTGACATCGAAGGAGGTCTGGCCCCCAGCCCAAAAAAAAGTTGTTTCTTTTCTTGATATTTATCAATGCTAATTTTATTTTTTTATTAAATCTAAGAATAGTCTCTTTGAAGCTGGATTATTTGTATCAACAGTCTTTTCTTACATCAGAATTGTGCGTAAATTTGTGACGAATTAAAATCTCTATAGAGGTAATTGTATCCTTTGGTACTAAAATATCAGTAGTTCGAAATAGAATGTCATAAATCACGCTATTCCATAAAGACCTGCGATTTCAATGTCATCAAACACTGCACATCCCTTAAAATCGATTTGCTGTTTCGACTGCATGCCGCAAGCCTGCAACTGCATGGCTGACGAGCGCGCTGATTTATTTTCTGAAGTTTTTGGATTTTAAAATTAATCGGCCTCTCGGTATTGCGTAATTAGGCGCTTGAGAACGGGTCGGTCGTGCGCCGAAGCAGACTACAAACTTCGAACAGAGATCTGCGAAGAAGTAAGTATACCTTAGAAAGACTATTCTATATTGTTAAATTATATTATTATTGTGTTAAATATTAATATCGCGGCGGCACGGATTGCTTGCAGCCCGTACACATTCAGATTTAGAGATTGGTAATTTAGGAACGGGTCAGTATCATGGCACCGTATATTATGTTTTATGGAAATTAGCGTCAGTTTGTTAATTATATTGTTCATGAGCGCTGGTGATTAAATATTACAAAGCGCGCGTGGAATAGTCAACAAATGTCTTCATAACATGTACTTCAATTTTCTAAAATTTACATGGAATAGGAAATGAAATAAGAGAAGTATTATTACATAGCTTCATAAAAAAATCAAGAACACGTTGCTGGAAACCGGTTATGACTGTGTCTATGTTTTTGACATTAGGCTATATACTACTAACAACGATACTCCTATATGGAGGAATCCTGGCAGCTTATGACTGTTGGCCTCCGTGGCATCGGCAATGGGACCAGCACGAATCGTCGCCACCAATACCCGATCAACTAAACTAATATATCATTTTAAAGATTTATTACAATCCATTGATCACCTATTTCTTCCAATTTCCTTAATTGTCACAATTAGGGAACCGGACTGTTGTTTTTTTTTAAATTGCAGCATTGTAGCACAGTAATATGTGCTTACTGATGTGTATAATTTTAACACAAATATCATCTTTTACAAATAGGCATCCCGGCGATGTGATTAATAAGTTTAACAACTACTACTTTTTTATTTATTTTTTATTGGTTAGATGGGTGGACGAGCTCACGACCCACCTTGTGTTAAGTGGTTACCGAAGCTCATAGACAAATACAACGTAAATGCCGCCATCCACTTTGAGACATGAGTTCTAAGGTTTTCATAGTACAACGGTTGCCCCACCCTTCAAGCCGAAACGCATTACTGCTTCACGACAGAAATAGGCAGACTCATAAGACGTCTTACCACCAATAAATACATAAATTATAATTTTGTGTGTTTTATGTTTATTACAAGATGTTATTTCTTTATCGTAAATGTTAATCATAAAAAGGGGAATGCCCATTTTAGGCCCTAGGTTGACAATAGATTAGAGAAAAAAAAAACTTTGTGCATTAATTTTGGCATAAATAAATGTGTACCTATTTACTTTTTTCCAAATGAGCGCCACTACAGTTTACAATAAGTATTGAAAAAACAAGGTATTTTTTATTTTTGCGGGAAAAATATTGCCAGCATCAAAACTATATTTTAAGTATTATCTTTATAATCATCAATCGATTATAATCGATTATAAACACGTAAAATAACATCAAAGACATATCCATTGGACTCTACTAGTATTGTTATTTAAAACAACTAAAACAAATAAAGAATAAAAAATAATGTGTATTCGTAAAAAAAATATTAAGAAAAATAAATCAATTATCGGTTATTTAAAAAAGTAATCGACATATCGATTTAATGTAGTTATTTTTCATTATGCTGACAACACTGAATTTAATCTGATCATAGATATTATAATCTTGAATCTGAATGACTGTCTGAGTCTGACACTTCGCTTGCTGCTTACGTTCAAAATGGATGTGTTTTGATTTTTCTTCGATTTATTTTACTGGCTTTGTTATATGGATTTTATTCTCCCTTCAACGACAACTTTGGTTCAGGAGCTAAGGATCACAGCTACATTAGATTATGGATACCGATCAATAACGTTTCATGCTACGACTGAAAAACATTTTGTGAATTGTGGTTTTAACCTAACCGAGATTCAAAACCATACCTTTGAATCGAAAAAAATAAGCGTGATACAGCAGTGGGTTGCCCCACAGCAGGTAAGTACACAAGCTATAAATTGATTTTGTTATTACATAAATCATCTTCCAATTATTTACTGATAATTATATTTTTTTAAGATGTGAAGAGATAATCATGTTTGCCACAACTGCTGATTGGTGCTAGCCTTGCTCTTCAACAAGAGCCAGAAGGATTTGTATGTCACAATAGCTGCATTTATTATGGACGGTCTGTTAGACGGATAAGAAGTCACTTATAAGAACAGATACAGATAGAAAGTCTCATTAGATATGTTGGAAAATGCACAGTAGGTTGTTGTGCACATATTATGACTGTGCTTTGGTATATAGATTGGGCAAGATATCAATCAAATATATGTCCTCCTGTGCTATTTTTAGATGACTTACTAATTGTGTATGAAGATGAAGAAAATATAGATATTTAAAGAAGCATGTGTGTTTTTTTATACTCTAATAACTACAATTGGATAAAAATACATTAGGAACATCTCTCTTAACATAATCAATAAATTAAACATGAAGAAGAGAAAAGTTCTTAAAGTATCTCATAATCCGACACTTATTTATATATATAGAAAAATAACCTCACAACGATTTTTATTTTATTTTATAATAGTGGTGTCAATTTCAATATATTTTTTAGATATCCAATACATTTAAGAATTTGAAACACTCCATTTTTATAGTAATATTTGATGTCCATCTTGGGCCCAGCACACTATGGAGAGTGGGCATTCCCCATTGTTAAGTACGTATTTCGTAAGAAAAAATTTACTGAAAAATTAGTGCCTGCCTGCGGGATTCGAACACCGTTGTATCGCTTGATACGAGTGCACCGGACGTCTTATTCTTTACGCCACGACGATTTCGACTACTTACACTCGGCTCCCAAATAATAAATAAAGTAGACAGTAGTAAATATTAAAGATATTAGACACTAATCACCCTTATGATATCAGGTCTAAGTTAATTGCTTTGGAACAACGTTTATCCAGCACTTCAGATATGTTCGTTATGCAATTACAAAGAAGCAGGTCGACGAGATGGTCGTTGGTCGCATTAGTAGTCGAATGCAACGATTGAAGCCAAGAATAGTCAGAAAACGAATCGAAGAGAGAACATTAGTTTTATCGACTATGTAACGGTCTAGCGCGAACACACGCATGCGCCAAATGACCACATTACAAAGGCCACCATTAAAATCGATAACGCGTTTTCGGCGCAGCAAAGTGGTTCGACACGCGAGGCTTTAATTTTGCTTAAATTTGAAATTACAGTGCATCGACTGCGCTGAATAAAATCAATGGATTCTTAAAATGTGAAATGACAAATATCAGTACCTCCCTCCGTTGATCTATTTAGTGAGAAACATATTTGTGGTGTGTTTTAAGCTGTCATCTACGAGTGCGGAGATCAAGCCTTAGTCTACCTATTTATCATACAAGGTAATTTTTTAAGCATCTAATCCATATAAAGCAAATACCATGACGCAAACAGTCACGTGGCTAGGCCATAAAGTCCGGAATTGCCTCTTTCTATCACCCATATGTGATCTATGTGACCCTATGTGATATGTCACCCTATGTGATCACCCAGGTCTGGGTGATCACTTCTTAGAAAGTGAGCCCGATGTTCGGCTTGTAGGCATTAAGAAGCACTACACAACTCACATTTATTAACAAGTGACACTATTTGTGTAAATATTGTTTTTATATTTGTGTATTTATGTATATATGTTTACACTTATGTATGTATTTTTTTTATAAATTTGTAATTTAATTTATATTTCAAAGCACCTATCGTTGTTTATTATGCACTACCTTTGGTTGACTGATAGAGAATGCCATAGGCATTAAGTCTACCAATGTCAATATTACAATAAATAAATAAAATAAATGAGCATCGTAGAATAAAAATTATTTACTCTTTCAGTTTTATTTCCTTTGCGAACTTGCTAACTGAATATGAAAATTGTATGCTATGTTGTCAATCAGCGACTGATAGTTTTGCCGGCGCGTTGTTCTTATTAAGGCCTGGTCGAGGATATACCTACATAGTTCAGTGTGCTTAGTGTGTTTTTTAACGTTCTCGACAGCGTAAAAGTTACCTGAAATTTGTATGCAGCTGGAACAGTGCCCCTAGCGACAAACATAGGCAAACGTTCCAACTCCCTACAAATTTGAGTTAGCTTTTATGCTATCGAGAAAGTTAAAAAGCTCACACTAAGCAAACATATGTGCCTACTGCGGCTCGGCTACTGGCGCCGCTCCGCGCACTCACTCATGCACAAGCCGCGTATTTACGTTGAATGTTCGCTACGCCTGCAAATAAATAATAGTCATTACTAACTGCCCGCGAATATAATACAATAATTCGCGAATAACTTCTACCTGGAAGATACGGCATCGCGCGGTAAATATAAACGCGGAATGTTTTTAAATTTGCGAAATCTTATGTCGGCGCGCGCGTTTACTAAATTAAATTTAAAAATAAGTCTTTTCTGCTCTATACAACTTTGCTAAAATATTGCTCAAACGCGTCTTGTGCTACGGAATTGAAATTTGAATCATATCATTGATTACAACTTAATGCCGTTTATGCTATAACGTGCAGGCTACGTAAATAATGAAGATTCGGCTATTATAAATGTTTATTCGAAATTGTACTACTTTTTACATGTCAGTGCTCATAATAATTTTCCTGTCATTGAAAAAGCTTTGCGAAGTAGAAAACTCAAGCTGGCTTTGCATTGTTTGTTTGTTCGAAGTGGCGACAGAATTTCTCGTATTCACTTATTCGGAGTATTTATTCTACCTTTAGCTCGTAAATTCAGATTTAGTCTAGAACGCATCGAACACGTCGTTGTAAAGTGCAACTTTGATGAAGTTAAATTTATTATTTAGATATTTTTATTATCACTCTTGGATACATTATTCCCATTATTTTTACTTGTTTTTATTGGTTGATTATTTGTTTTTATATGTCAATATCTGTAAGAACAGTCTGAATTGCATTACAAAATTAAACCAATCCGCTTGCCAAAATTTTACGTCGTGGTGTCGCTACTAGAATCATTAGTGCTGCCCTCTATGTAACAGTGACCAGTAACAAAGTGCATCAAGTTTCGGTGTATCAATTTGGCGCAACTGTGCGACATCCTGTTTACATTCAGTGTTGCCACTTTATAAGACTTATAATACCATCCGGATGGTTTCTTTATAATAAAACATTTTGAAATCATTACACATGTTTTCTTTCATTGTCACCCTCTCTGGACTTCTACTAATAATTCGAGACCAAAATTAGCCAAATCGGTCTAGCCGTTCTCGAGTTTTAGCGAGACCAACGAACAGCAATTCATTTTTATATATGTACTATATGTATAGATTACACGCCTGTGAGGAATCTGTTTATAAAAAGCAGTTTCTGATTTTAACATTCAAAACCTGATATAATCGCATCACTCAATACAAATAGACCGGTAGTTTTATTTTGATTTTGAATTATTGTAATGTCAAGTGAAAATTGTAATTTGAATTCTTGGAAACGCCGTCGAACTTGTATTTATTTGTTGTACTCAGCAACACTATATAAATCAATAGAGAACAGAGCGGGCATGCGCTGTGCGTTCATAGTAGCCATTTTGTCATTGCCATGACATCGTCGAAACCATAGACCTATATAGTAGGGACACGACATATTGTTCTATACGTACAATTGCTTATATAAATAGCACCCATTTTGAAGGCATACACATAAACATATATCTATCTCGTTCTTACTCAGCACTTTAACTCGCAGGAAAACAATATAACAGTATTTCAGTGCGTACATAAAATGAAATATATTTTATACGTAAATGTCTAATGAGGCCGAAAATCCGCCATGTTTAGCGCGCCAAATGTCATTGTCACGTCAGTTCGGCCGTCTGTTTTGGGTTGTACATTATTTATTGACTTTGATATCGATTTAATATGATTGCTTATATAAAATTTCTTATTTTATCATGCTTAAAACATACAAAAATAATAATTAAAACATATTTTATAGGATCTCAAGAAAGTCGATGCCCCAAAACTATTATCTATATATATTTAAATTCATTATGAAGCCCTCATCCGAAAAATCGGACACCATTTTTCGGTCGGAATCTATTGATCATGACACCAATCATAAATACCTCTTAATAAAATATGTCATCAAAACATATTTAGACATTCTGTTTAGATATTTCGGGAAAAAGGCTACCGACAAAATCTCTTCGGAGCTGTTTAAATAAAATAGTTTTATTCCGTAGTGAGTAAAACACTATTGTAAATTCGTTAAATATATAATAATTAAGTGATTTTAGAGAGGAAGTCACAAGGAATGACTTTTGTAATTAATGAATAAATGTTCTGTAGGTGTTTTTTTTTATCACGCGGTTCCTTGATAAGTTTAAAATTTGAATGGTGTGGCGCACCTTCCTTGAGGTGCGCTGCGGTAGTGTGTTACGGACTTTAGGTCAGTAATACAATTAAAATAGATTGTAATAGTCTAAGAAAAACACGTAATCAAAATACGATAACATTTAGCATGCTAGAAATGGGCAGATGGCACTGTACTACGCCATATCTTTATGTTTTGCGACAAACGACAACTTTATAAAATCAGTGTAGCAACTTTTAAAAATCATCTTAACGTTTACTTGGCAATTTCGAAGGACGAACTTGTCTTAAATTTCACACATCTAAATCATATTATATTTGCACATAGCAATATACTTACTTACTTCCTATTAAAGTATAAATTCTACAAATAATTAATACTCAACAATATTTAAAATAAAATGAGCCAAGAACGTTTATCGATAAAACCTGATAACATTGAAATTTTTTGCACAGCACTAAAACCGCCATGTTTTGTGGTCAGATGACGTCACAGTGGCACGAATTTTTTGTTGACGTTTCATTTCCATATGTTTCCTACTTCAGTGGTCGAAACGGTCGACTACGCTATGACATGTCCTTCTTCAAACAAAACTTGTACAGAGTATTAAGCGGTAGGCAGCGGCTTGGCTCTGCCCCTGGCATTGTTGACGTCCAAGCGATGGTAACCACTTACCATCAGGTGGGCCGTATGCTCGTTTGCCTGCTAAAGCAATAAAAAATAATTTAAAAAATGAGTCGAGTTCGACGAGCGAACTAACCTATAGACACAGGGAGTTTCTAGGTGCATTTTCTCAATGGGTCGCGATTCCGATCCGGTGGTAGATTCTGTGAAGCACTACTCCTGCAAGAACTGGTGTTAGCAAATTGTCTAAGGTTAAGTTCTGAATTCACCTAGTATCCACATTTTTTGGTCAAAACTGGCTCAAAGTTTAGATTAGCCTTTTTATGAAACCAATAATTAGAAACATCAATAAAAAAAATCCAACTTTCGCAAATTAAATAAAACTTTCTCCTCCCTTGGATCGTTGAAAACAACGAACAGACTAAAATTTTCTTCTTTTTTTTTCATAATTCTGAATTTGGAATTTAAAAATTCATACGATAAAGATGGCCAGTAAATCAGGTTCAAAACTGCATAAAAACTTATTGCTCCACCTAACATATATTTTTTGCTAGGGACCGTCAAAACATCACTCGAATTTTCGAAGTATCCATCTTTCTTATCTAAGCTGAGTAAAAAAAGTAACTGAAAGTCGATAATCGAATGGTGCACATTTTTCAAAAGAAAAACTTCATAGGTGAAAAAAATTTCACTCCAAAATCTCAAACCATGAACCAGTCCCCTCTCCATGAAGGTTCTATTTCAATTCGAAGTACCTATTACAATAAAATGGAAATTTCATACTTTAACCCCTATTATTTATTATGTATCTATATATAAGTACATATATAAAAATGAATTGCTGTTCGTTAGTCTCGCTAAAACTCGAGAACGGCTGGCGAAGTCGATTTAGCTAATTTCGGTCTTGAATTATTTGTGGAAGTCCAGAGAAGGTTTAAAAGGTAGATAAATAAATATGAAAATACTCGGAATTAAATAAAAATAACCATTTTGTTTTTCCTTTGATGTGTCCCCCGTTGGACGGATTCCTGTTGTTTGTTTTAAGTTTATTTTATACAAAAGCTTAGGTCTTTTATTTATCGATTGAGGCACTATGAAGTCAGCCGGGTCAGCTAGTTTGTAATATATCCGTTGTATTGTATATATTGTATGAATACGTATAATATAATATTTGTCCCGCGTTTAAAGTATTTTAATTCGTCACTACTGAGCATAAACACATTTTTTAATGTAAAAATCTTCAAATCTGGTTACATTCATTCAACTAGTAATATGGACTTAACAACTCGTTTTTAGTAATAAATGTAATAGGAGGATGGGTAATAATTAAAAAAAAATCATTAAGATTTGAAGTTAGCGATTAAGCAAAATTGTTCGCTCGCTGTTTTTTCTT